TGGCTTATCGAGTCTGATCGCCGAATCAACCTCACTCCAGCAGTCGCCCCCGCAATCTGCACGTTTAGTGCAATCCTTATCATCTGGATGCGTTTCTCCTCACGGCTCGGGTCTCTCTCGAGGCCGTAGTTTATCTGTCGGTTCTCAAGTGACAGCAAGCTATCCTCCGGTCCTCCTTTCGATTTGACAGATACGGATGTTATGGCTTATCTATTGCTTTTGTCGCCTACTCTGGAATCATAATCCATCGTTATTCCACCCCCCCCTCTCATTCTTGTCCCGCTTTCTTATTTGAATTTCTTGTCTCCTCCAGTGGCTGGGTGGCTCCATATCGTTCAAGTCCCTATTGTCATTACCCCGAACGGTATGGACAACATCAAAATCCCATCGCCTACGACAATTCTAGACACTACTCCCACCATTCCTTCGTCTGCCGGGATCTTTGATTCGGCCTCTTCTATAAAAAGAAGCACACCACCGAATCGAGCTATAAGAGGAGTTGTCACTAACAAGCCCAAGCAATCTAAAAGTCGAAACGGTAAAGTCATTCCTATTAACTGTTAAGAAATCAAGTCTCGATGTCGGATCGGTGTAAACCGCTCACATACATCCAGCGAAAAGAATTGCGCAGAGCGCTGACTCCATTTCCTTTTCACCGTACATTAGGCTGCATTACCTGCAAGGCAAAGAGACTAAAATGTGACGAGTCGAAGCCGACCTGTCTCCAATGCAAGAAGCGCAACGTGGAGTGTGGAGGTTACAAAAAGGACTTTAAATGGCGTCCATTCGAAGAAACCAACGTGGTCAGCAGGATTTCTTCTATTCAAGCCAGAAAGAGTAAGTGTGCAGGTTTACAAGGTCTGCATTTTGTAGTCACCACTAAGATCTCTCAGGTGATCCGGCCAGGTCAGGCAAAGAAAGGAGGGCCAGTCATTCAGGGCAGGCGGGCAAGGATCGTCAACCTTGGCCGGTTAGCGCTCGATCGTCCACACCGACAGCATCCTCTCTGGAATCGAATGATGCTGCACTCATTCATACACTCCAGTCGGGCAATTCGCCTTCCACTGACTCACCACTTGCATTGACCCAGGAAAACCTCACATCCTGGAACGGTGGCATAGCTCGTTTTCTGGATTTCAGTAATGCAGAGGATGAACTCCTCACGCCTTTTCTCACAAATAGTTCGCCGCCGGAACAGTCTCCACGGCTCTCCGATATTGTACCCTCCACTCTGGATATCCATACGAGCCCAATACGGAGGCCACTGGGGCTGGCTTCGCAGAACACGACTCTTCGACCGGGCAACTTGAGCTTTGCAGCACTTCTTGAAGAGGACAATGATAAAATAGAAGAAATAGCCCGCCAGTCCGATGAGTATATTGATCCGTGGCTGGTAGGATCTTCCGATGGCGGGGCGCCGTCCGAGACGTCGAATACCCCCGCTATGCTACCCAAGGAGCCAAATTTCGATATTGCCAGTCCCGAAATGTTGGTACTGCAATTTGACAGATTCACTTGCGGGATTTTGTCTGTCAAGGATGGGTTAAACGAAAACCCCTGGAGGACTCTGATATGGCCTCTAGCCGGAGAGACTCCAGCCTTGTACCATGCGATATTCTCTATGACGGCTTTCCATTCAAGCAAGGACAATCCGGGTCTAAGAATGCACGGCGTTGATCATATGAGAAGAAGCATTACTTACATGGTCCAAGATATACAGAACATGCGGACAGATGCTGCCTTAGCTACGAGCTTGGCGCTGGCATTCGCAGACACATGGGACCAACACACCCGTAACTGTATCCAGCATGTACGTGGGGCCAAGGCACTCGTATTGCAGCTCCTGAAGTCCAAGGTTCGGGATGCAAATGACATCGAGAGAATCCGGTTTCTATACAACACCTGGTTGTACATGGACGCAATCGCACGCTTAACCTCTCGAGACGACGAGGGAGATCAGGATATGAACTTCTCCATCTTCCAGCTGCCCCGGGATGCAGTTCATGAGATTGACCCTTTGATGGGTTGCGCCACTACACTCTTTCCACTCATCAACCAGGTCGCCAGACTGATCCAACGGGTTCGGAAGACGGAATCAAATTCAATTTCTCTTGTCTCTCAGGCTATCGAGCTAAAAAGACTTATCGAGCAATGGGAACCACCGGAGTGGTTCGTGCCGCCGGAGGACCCAACATCCGAAGTACAGCACAGTATCCAGACGGCGCACGCCTATCGTTGGGCAACTTTATTGTATCTTCATCAAGCAGTGCCAGAAATGCCCTCAGAACCAGCTAGTGACCTGGCCAAGCGTGTATTGATACTGCTGGCTACTGTTCCTTCGGGTTCCCGAACGACAATCGTTCACATGTTTCCTCTGATAGCAGCTGGATGCGAGGCCGAACCAGGAGAGGATCGCCAGTGGGTTTTGAGTCGATGGAGAGCAATCCAGTCTCGTCTTATGATAGGGTCCATCGATCGATGTATTGAAGTAGTCCGGGAAGTTTGGTCTCGCCGTGACACCATCGAGGCAGAAAAGCAGCGACAGCAGGAGCGCGTGCTCAGCAGTTCTAGTCGTCAGAGCAAAGGCGGGCCGGGTTCAACACCCCAGGGAACGAGAGAACAATTCATCAGCAGTTTCGCCATTCCTTCCGACCCAGCAGTGTCGTCTAGACCCCCATTCGTAGGCACTCGAAGAAGCTCGGCTGTGTCACCATTGGAAAACATCGAATTCGAGAAGACAGTTAGAGGTAAATTACATTGGGTTAGTGTCATGCAAGAATGGGGATGGGAAGGTGAGTCGTTATCTTGTTCCGTTTGACTGTTTGCATTGTACTTCATTCTTCGGTACCTGAGCTGAATTGGACTGTGTTTTTTGCAGTGTTTCTGGGATAAAGAAAATAACGGGATCGAAAAGTTGATGGGCGCGGTTCTCTACCGAGGCTGGGACATAGTCTTGTTTGCAGTTGAGCCCTTGACTCGGACTTGTTCATATGGCCTGCATTCTCGTGGCTTTTGGGACTGTTGCAATGTCGAAAGCGGCTGGCCTGATTTTGAGTGGCCTTCATTTTCTTTGTCCTCAAGTCGAGATGAAGCAAAGTCATCGCTGGCTAGATACGATCGGAGTGAAGCCAGATACGACTCGACGTCGCGGGTGATCTTGACAGTCGACATTCCGACGAAAGAGGCAGGCATATACTTGTTGCAATCGTCAATGACTGGGGGTTCGGTCGCGGTAGGATGCACTTGGAATTGATGTCAAGTTGCGGTTGGGTTACGGACTTTCCTTCTACTTGATTAGCATGGCGTTCAGAGGTGGTTGCAACGGCTTGCTTGCGGTTCATGTACTGAATTCTATACGGACTTGGCCTTGTTTTGGTGCTTTGATTGCGTTGGGGCAACCATAAGAGGGTCCAAGTTGGGATCGTCTTTTCGAAGATGTCGCTTAGGGAACCAGGTCTTTTGAACAGCTGCTCCGGATTTGCTTATGCAACGGGTTGGCGCATGGGCTAAACGAGCACGAGACAATTTGTTCACGGAGTTCCTTTCCTACCAAGACGCGAAATGTGAAAGAAGACCCGGCTCTGATTTATAAGCAGAAATGAATTGGATTTCTCTACAGCGAAAATGACTTAGCTCTGATAGTGATTCAGGAAGTATTCATTTCACGAACCTGTTGATATATATAACATCTGGCCTCCAGCTGGTCACTGAAGCGGACTATAGAGGCACCGAAAATGGCTGCGAGAGATATCTCCTCGACTGTTACTTCTTGCCGCTGAGACTGAAGACCGGAGATTGCATTTATTCTCGGTCGAGGGACTCGGGGATTCTGACATAGGGCGGTCGTTCTTCTACCAGTAATCGGTATTAGTCAGTCGGATGGGCAGGAGTATAAAATATAAGAGGCTCTCAAGAGGAAATTGGGGGAGGTCCCCTCTTTTCTATGATCGTCCAGCCCACTGAGCAAATCATCCACTAGTCTCAGGTAGGTAGTGATATATGGTGTCATTTTCCGGGTCTGCCATTAGTTGATGATTGATGACAGACTGGTCTGACTAAGACGATCCAGGACTAGTTAACTAAGGGAGAAGTGATTTGCAAGGTTGCATGCAGGATGGTCGGTTCAGTTTGGGTTCTTGAATCCCAGGGCATCTTTGTCGGCGGGGTAGATAGAACAAAGCAAGCTGAGCATCCTCAGGTTCGTTTTCTTAAGGCAGATGGACGGATAAGGCAGGACGCAGTCCCTGTACTCTCTGTAGGTTTGAGGGGATTAGGTGACATCACTGCCTGTTGAGATTGCATATTGCCTTATCCATTCGGTGATTGCTGGATGAGGGATATACTCCATGGATGATGTTATTGTGGGAGTGCTCCGCAGATACCTAGGCATTTGGGAGGAAAGACTAACCAATCCAGGCAAAATTGTCCAGGCTTTCAGTACTCCGTACCGTAGGTGAGGTACCTTACCTAGTTTCCGGTACGGTAATTCATAGACTGTGACTTTGGTTTTACCTCCCTTGAAGTGTACCTTGGTAGATACCTCAGGCTGTCCCATTACCATACGTTGACACTCGACTATGGATACAAGGTACGGGTTGTTGATAAGTACCGAGGACGATTATGATACTGATAGATAAGGAATACCCCTCATCCTTCGACCGCTCACCCTCATGCATTATCTCCGCTGGAGTACTCCGTACCTCGAGATGAATAACTAACTGGAGGAATCATATCCGATCGCACTTTGGTAGATCTGGGGTTTCGTGAAGAGTTACTGCTGGTCTCCCAGTGTAGTAACTGGATCCGTTTGTTCGCATTGCTATGCTATCCTATCAGTGCAGAGGGAGGAAGGAAATTGAAGGACAATGGCTTGGAAATATGTATAGATTCTATATATATTGCGATGTTAGAACAATCGAGCATCATCAATTTGAATATCCCAGCCTACGCAGTATAGAGTAACGCATCTCTAATCTATACGTTACTCCCATCCATACAAAATGGCTGTCCGGTTCAGATACCACGCCAAAGCCCAGTACACCTTTAAGCCACCCCTGATCGCAAACGAGAATGCCTTCTTAGGCGATGTGTACTCGAGGTATTTGAATCTACCGATTCCCACCATGGAAGCTAACATGATCTCCTTCGCAAGCGAGAAAGAGAACCCCGACAAGCCCATCTCGGCTGGCTTCTACCGCCTTGAAAAAGGAACCCCGCTGGTGTATGAATACACCTACGACGAAATGAAGATCATACTTGAGGGGCAGTTTGAAATTGCCGATGAGACCGGGCAGAAGGTGACGGCTTTGCCGGGGGATGTTTTTTATTTTCCCAAGGGGGCGAAGATTACGTTTACGACGGAAACGTATGGGTTGGCGTTTTATGTGAGTTTTTTTTAGTTGTGTTGCTACCCTTTCAGATAATCACTAACTAACAGCTGTCTTTGTAGACTGGACAGAGGAAGCAGGGAGGTGCCTAGATGGTGTCCTAGGATGGATGGATGGACGGATGAGGTTTATTTGATCGGGTGAAATTACCTGGATAGCGTGGACTACCAGTATATCACGTCATCGACCACCTTGAATAATCGACGGAGTCTAAAGATCCCAATTAGAGAGGTAGTCTCAAGGCTCTCGAGCCTCTGGGGAGACAGGATGCTTCCATGTTTTCTTGGGGGCCAGTGGTACATGTAATATATCCCGCTGTACCACTAGTCCAGTTTCTAGTGAGTGTAGAACCATGGAACTGTCCTGCTCAAAAGAGTAATTTGCTTATGCTATTTACCTCATGTAAACAAGGACAAGTGTGTCGCACGGGCTGATTTTTTGTGCAAAACCTGTTGGATTGCCATTCATTCTTGGACGAGACTAAGTCTAATGGCAACTGCAATCTCACCCGCATAGGAATGTGATTGTCTCGGCAATTATAATACTGAATAGGCAAGCGAGGATAAACAAAGCCATTGAGACATCACAAGCTTCCGCATGAAACTCCAAGTCCGATCAGATCTCATCCAGACTTCGTCCAACGTCGATCCAGCCCAATTCGTCTAACAATCAGAGAATGACTTGCAGGGCCTCCCCTCCGTAGCACGCAGATAAGGCGTCAGATTTAAAACTCTGAGACTGGAGACGCCATATCCATTCTGATCCCAAACCCTCCAGCACTCCAATCACAAGCATGAGCGACTCCGATAAACTCGTGCCCCCTTGATTCAAGGCAGGGGTTAATCGCTAAATCTTGCTCATCGTATCCGTATCTAAATTGGATCGTAGCCTTATGCCTTGGACAAGGGAGTTACCGGGGCAACTGCTATGCTAGAATAGGAAGAGGGGGACGGATCGAGCTGATCTTGTCAACTCCGAAGCTTCTCGTTGGCTAGAAAAATCCAGGTGGATGAGTGGCTGGCTGTTAATCATTCATGTTCCTGGGGATGACGAAGGAGGAGGATCCGATGAGATCTGTTTCGGTTCAGCTGAAGCATCATCAGCAGCAGTCCAGAGCTGAATCAGGTGCAGCAGACATTCACGATCCTTTGAAAACGGGAGCGAAGGGCGGATCACGTTTTCTTGTCTGACTCTTGTTGTCGCTCCCCTTTCTTCCCTCCTTCTTTTCTTCATCCTTCTTGACTCCCCACTAAATAAAAAAAGAAACAAAGCCATTATTCCCTCCACCTGACTCCCGACCGAAGCTCTCCCCGGAAGTGGCTCATTTCTTACCTTTGACACTCTCTTCCTTACTGTTCCTGTCTATCATCACTTTGCTTCTTCCTTCACGCTATACGTCAGAAACATTTGCAGCTTCTCTCTCTTCTATTCCTTTGACTCCTCCTGACTGGATTCCTCCCAAACTACTGCCCGACTACGTTAGCTTCCTTCTTCCCCACCAACCAAGGCTGATAGCTGCCATACTGGGCTTTAGTCTACCCCGTTGGCGGAGGAGTCTCGCCTCGCCCTTCTCGCCTTAGCCACGTCCAGAGACCAATTGGGCACATTTCCCTCTGATACTGGCTGACTTCTCTCCCTCCTCTCTCTCTTTTACTTCTTCTTTCTCCGGCCTTCATACTCGCTTGGCGACACTTGCGGCCATGATGACCCTCGATACCCCTCGTGAATCGCCAGAGCGTCACGGTCTGCGTCTTCCAAATCCCCCTCCTCTGTTGCATACCCGGTCGGGCAATGACCCTTTCGATCGCCCCTCGACTCCCGCAGACAATGGCTTCACCAGTCCTGCCCAAACCCCGCAGGGCAGTCCCAGCAAGAACAGAATGCCGCCTGGCGCCATTGACCTACCTAATGTCTTCGAAAAAGCGATGAAGCTAACTCCATCCTCTCCCACCAAGAACACCTTCAACCATTACAACCACCCCATGTTTGCTCCCCCGAAGGGAGCAATGGACGACTTCAGCGAGAGTGTTATCCGCCAGTCACCAGGAAGTCCCACGCGCAGATCGAACAAAGAAAACACACCCCCGAGTCCTCTCAAAATAGCCAAGGATCTAGGCCCCAATCCCGCCGCCGCCGCAATTTCTCGTCATGAGCCATATCAGCAAAGAGATCTGGACACTCTCCAGAGGCGCCAGGTTCAGATGCGTGGCTTGACGCCAGAAGAGATGGAGAAGCTGCAGAGTCCCAGAGTCAAGCGATTGGTCAATGTGACTCAACTATGTAAGTGTATTTCCAGAGTGACGATTGCGCATACATGTCGGATTGGTCTCCAGTGCTAATATGCTTGTTGCTTTTGCATAGACTTCCTCGACCATTACTTTGACCTACTCAGTTACGTTCACAACCGCCAGACCCGCTATTCCCAATTTCGTGCCGCCTACCCCGATCCTCCTGCGACCCCAATTGACGATTACGAGCCAGCCCTCCTCAAGTATCTAGGTCGCGAGCGTGCTCATCTTCGCAAGCGTCGCACCCGTCTGCGTCAGCACGACTTCCAGATTCTGACCCAAGTCGGCCAGGGTGGCTATGGACAGGTCTATCTGGCTCAAAAGAAAGATACTCGAGAGGTGTGCGCGTTGAAAGTTATGAGCAAGAAGCTCCTATTTAAGCTGGACGAAATCCGTCACATTCTGACCGAGCGAGACATCTTAACGGCGGCCAAGAGTGAATGGCTCGTCAAATTGCTCTACGCTTTCCAGGATGATGAGCAGATTTACCTCGCAATGGAATATGTGCCGGGCGGTGACTTCCGTACCCTGCTCAACAATACTGGCGTCTTGCACAATCGCCATGCCCGATTCTACATTGCGGAGATGTTCAGCTGCATCGATGCACTCCATGCGCTGGGGTACATTCACCGCGACCTCAAGCCAGAGAACTTCTTGATTGATTCAACTGGCCACGTGAAGCTAACGGACTTTGGCTTGGCGGCGGGAATGCTGAATCCAGGAAAGATTGAGTCCATGCGTGTGAAGTTGGAGGAAGTCGGCAATACCCCCGTTCCGTTTGGTCGCCCGATGGAGCAACGAACTGCAGCCGAGCGTCGTCAGGGATACCGTTCGCTTCGAGAGCGTCAGGTCAACTACGCCAAATCGATTGTTGGTTCGCCTGATTACATGGCGCCCGAGGTATTGAAGGGTGAGGAATATGACTTTACGGTTGACTACTGGAGCTTGGGGTGCATGCTCTTCGAAGCCTTGGCTGGATACCCGCCCTTTGCGGGGGCCACGGTCGATGAAACGTGGCAGAACCTGAAGAATTGGCAGAAGGTACTCCGGAAGCCTGTATACGAGGACCCCAACTATTTCCTTTCGCGGCGGACCTGGGGCCTCATCACCAAGCTCGTGGCGGCCAAGGAGAACAGAGCCAAAAGCATCCAGGAAATCCATGCGCATGACTATTTCAGCGAGGTTGACTTTAGTCGCCTGCGTGAGCAGAAGGCGCCATTCGTACCAGAGCTGGATTCAGAAACAGACGCCGGCTACTTTGACGATTTCAGCAACGAAGCAGACATGGCCAAATACAAGGAGGTCCACGAGAAACAGCGTGCGCTCGAAGAGATGGCCGAAAGAGAAGAGAAGATGAGCAAGGGATTGTTTGTTGGGTTTACATTCCGGTATGTTCACTCTATTCTACGGGGAAAGATATATTTCTGACAAGCATGACAGTCATCGCAAACCCGCCGTGGATTCCACTGGCCGAAGCTCGCCGCGGAAGCCGATTGCAACCGACGGGTCGTTCGGAACCATGTTCTAGACGGGATGAGCCCCTGCAAATGTCCTTTTCTTCGCGTATGAACGCATCCTGGCATCGAGCTGGATCTCGAATTGGCCACCATCAAACCGGTTTTGCGGCGTCTCTTAAATGGTTTTCTGTATGCATACTCATCGGTCACCAAATGGGCCTGGGATACATGGGACTGGAGTTGTGCGTGTATTGATTATGCGTGTATGATACATAGAAAGTCGGTATGCGTATGCTTAGGAGTCAGGTTGAAAACATAGTCTATTTTTCTCTTCTTTCCTGTCGGACTTTCAGGTAATGCCGCCCGAGCTTAATCCACGTCCAGCTGATGCACCATCTTCAGGATCTCCGATTCATTATCCCCGACAACCGCCTTTCCGTGCGTCCAGTCAACAGTCTACGTAGCGTAGTCCATTGTTAGTTATCCGATCAGGCCCTCGAAGAATAAAAAGAGAAAGAAGAAGAAAAAATAGGAAAGGGAAAAGAACATACCACCGGCCTCACAAACTTCCCCTCATCCTTCTTAAACAACTCCAACGCGTCCTTCGCGTCCTTCGCCCCCTGCACCAGATCCGACGGCTTCACGCCCCCGCCCACATAGTCGAGGATATTCCGCAGCTGGTCCGGCGTCGGCGGCGCGGTGGTCACCTCCAGCTGGAACTCGCCGCGCTGCCGCTTCGCGTGCTCGAGGTGGTCGCTTGCTTGGTCCTCTGTTGCGGTTTCGGAGGCGACGGCCGCGGCTTGGCGGAGGATAGTGTGGGCGCGTTTGGAGGAGGCGAGGGCAGGGCTGTGGAAGAGGGTTATGGGGTCGAGGGATTTGGGCTGTTGGTTGTTAGTTAGTCAATGGGGTTGTGGTTGGGCTTGAGGGTTATGGTTCTTGAGTGGGTGAGGAGGGAGGAGAAACGTACGAAGCGGAAGACCATTTTGAAAACTAGTTCTGGTTGGAGAGATGATGAGGTGTCTGGTTATGTGTTTTGTATTATGTATTGCGATGTTGTTGATGGATGGTAGAGTAACTCCGTAAGGTGAGGTGAGTGCTGGATTTGGAGGTGGTGGTGATGTGATTACGTCATGGGGGTGGTCATAGCTTCTGCTCTACTTCTACAGGCACAAGGACCTCTCGGGGTCCTCCGTACGGGTACAAGTATCACAGGAGGGTGGAGTTTAATTGAATACAATATCTACAGGATATATATTTACGGCTTCATCAATCGTGAATATAAACATGAAAAAGAAGGCTACCAGCCGAATGTTTCGACGTGGAGGTAGATCCCCTGGGCGCCGGTCCCCTTGTGGACCGCCCGTTCGTCGCTGAGATACACCACGCTGCGGCGGACGTCGTCTGAGAGTCCCTCTGGTCCGCATACGACGACGGCGCTTTCGCCTTCTGCTTTTTCAAGGACCTTGCGGATGATGGTGCGTGGCTGCGGTCGGCCGGATAGGAGGTTGAGGTGGTGGGATTGCGCGGGTTCTGGTTGCGCTGATGCTTCGGGTTGACGTTTTTCGTCGGCGTCGGCTGCAGCCGTTGGGGTTGGTTTTGGGGGCTCTGATGCCGGAGCGTGTCCGGAACAGGTACATTTGTGTTCGGTGATTTCGTCCTCGTCTTCTACCGCAGCTGTGCAGCAGCAGCCTCCGCCGGGGAGGCAGCCGCTTGTGCTCGCGGGATCTTGTCCACTTGAGCTTGACGCGGAGACGGATTGGATGGAGATGCGGTTGTTCTTTTCGGAGAATTCCTCTTTGCGGGGTTCAATGGCCTTCGGGTTTTCGGTCGGCGGAGATGGCGGCTGTAGACAGGCGGTTTTCGGTGGCTGCTGCTCCAGCTTCTCATCGCAAGTGATGTAGATACTCACTTCCAGTTCTCTGATCATATCAGGCTGGGCCTGTCGGCATTCGTCGACGTCGGATAATACAGACTGGATCTGAGTCTCGAACCAGCTGAGTTGAGCGCGGGACTTGATGACCCACACGAATCGAATTCGCTTGGTCGCCGCAAGACGACGCTTAAAACTTCCAGCACATTCTGCCTTCCACCCTGCGACGATGTCTCGCAATAGGGGAATGGTAAAAGTGGCCCCCATGCCGCCTGCGAGGAGAACGACGCTGTCAAATTGCCTCAGGGGTCGGATCCTGCCGTATGGACCGTCGATAAACACCGTACGAGGTCGTTGGGCAGTTGATACCTCTCCGGATCCGAGGGTGAGATGGTGCTTCGAGGCGAAACGGAAGAACCGCCTTGTACCACCCTTTTCGGCTCGCACTAAGAATTCCATCTTCCCGTCGTCCGGAATCGAAGCGATGGTGAACGGGTGACTCTGCAGAGGCACGATGGAGTGGCAAGTGAGAAACACATGCTGTCCGGGCTTCCACCGAACACCTGGATTCTCGACTGTAATTCGAGTGATGTTGCCTGGTAATGGAGTGAAAGTTGCGACGTTCGCCCAGAGAGGATGCCGATTTGATTTCGACACATGGAAGATTGACAGGTTGGCATACGTTGCCCACGCATACCGAGCTACCCGATCAAACACCAGAAATCCTATGGAAATCCACACCCAAGCCTTGACCTCCGCCGGCGCATGAAGCCAGACTGCAGCAAGGAACCCAGCGAACGTTACCAGATGCTGCAAGACGAACAGTTCGTAGCTCAGTCTACGAGTTGGCGCCGCTGATGATATGACGATGAATGTCAGAATGCACCATGCAGCAAATCCTCGTTGTGTCAGCACGTCGTTCTGCAGCTGATACGTGATATAGTCATATCGGGCCCAGTTTCGGAACCAAAAGCCCATGTGAATGGTCGCAGTCAACCATAGAGTCCTAGAAATCCAACGGTGGAACCAGTTCAGGCGCTCGTAGCTCAACCCCACAAACAATCCAATGATGTTTTGTCTTCCCGCCAGCAGAAAGATCAATGGCAGCTGGGCAATGGCGACAAAGCCGGTTCGATAGCCGACGTCTTCCCATTTCCATTTATTCGTCGTATCCAATTTGTAAAAGCAGAAAACGAGGACCACTACGAGGTTGGCCAGAATGATGGCAATCGGTCCCAGAGGAGCGAAGTGGAAGGATCGACCGCGAATCGTTATCGGAGGCAAGGTCGCATAGCTCGCTTCACGAACCACAGCTGTTAATGTGGCATATGAGCTGAAAAAGAGTGATTTCGGCTTGGATGGCGTGAGAGTGGAATCGCGTAATCTGTGTCGAGTTGAGTATCCGGGTTCCTCATAGCTCTTGAAGGAACTGTGCAACCCACCTTTGGTATGCTAAGAAGCGATTAAGCATGTTGGCAACAGTTCCAGCAGCAATAGCACTACCGACAACGGCCCAGTACATCCGCTGAAGGTAGAACACGTCCGGCACCCCCTCGCCCATGGACATATGGCCCATGCCACTCATGGACATGCCATCCATGTCTGCGGTGTCGAAGAGCGCAGATAGTTTACGGAAGCAAGGGAGTCGATATGCGCTGTGCGGCGAAAGATTTCCTATCCTCAATCAAAACGGCTGCTGTTCGCTTCTCATTGCAACTCGATAACGCGGCGGTGGTTGTATTCGGTATGACAGCCAACATGGACGAGGTTGTGCTGCTTTAAGCTTTCCTTGGTCGTCGTACAGATTAATCTGATCTGCTCCCGAGAGTCTCAAAGCTCGATTATCAGTTTTTGATTATCAGTTTTGCGAGACCAAGCATGACAGCGACAGAAAGGATTCAAGGTGAGAATGTAAAGAATGCGTGGCGGCGCATTCTTACTACAAAATAGAGCCAAGAGTAAACTCGGAAAAATGTCTAACAATAATCATAGACAATCAATGAGAAGCAGCTGCCCACTAATAATCTGCTCATCTCGGGCAATCTAGATCTGAAGACGTTGCGGAACAGCCAAAATACTCAATGCTGATTGGGTGCTGACTTCGAAAATGTGCTCAACCCGCCCACTCACACTATTTCTAAAAGGACAGAAACATGCTCACACATCCCCGCCGCCCAGAAGGGGACGGGTCCATTTCGGAATTGATGGCTTTAAACTTGCTGTGCTCGCTCGTTTTCGTCAATCATGTCATTACGCGTTGTTTTCCAGTTGCATCTTTCAAGTCGATAACCACTTCTGCAGTACGATCCTCGGGGTACGAGGATTGACCAGCAAACCTAGCGCTCTGGTCATTTCGCAAGCATTCCTATCAGGACAATAATACATAGACAGCAGATATGAACATGGATCACTCGAGCCATTCGAGCACGTCTTCCTCATCATCAATGACCATGACTATGGTCTTCACCAACAGTCATGACACTCCATTGTTCTCCTCAACATGGACACCGTCCTCCAGCGGTGCTTATGCAGGCACCTGCATCTTCCTAATCGTCCTGGCCATCATCAATCGCTGCTTAGTCGCTTTCAAAGCCTCCATGGAGCACTACTGGCTTGCGGCTCATCTCAATCGCCGTTACATCGCCATAGCGGGGAAATCATCTGAAGCCGGTCGTATCGACAAAGACCCTGACGCGAAGGTTGCTTCTTTGGTAACTGCTCAAGGCGTGGAAGAATCAGTAAAGGTTGTGCGACGAGTTTCGCGAGAGCCTATCCCCTGGAGATTCAGTGTCGACCTTCCACGGGCAGCTATCTTCCTGTGTATTACAGGCGTGTCCTACCTGCTGTATGTTTGATGCGCGCTCTCTTTCTCTCCTTGCGTGACTCCTGGCTAACTTCACTTGCAGCATGTTAGCCGTGATGACAATGAATGTGGGCTATTTCTGCTCCGTTCTTGCTGGTGCTTTCCTCGGAGAGCTGGTGGTGGGACGATACATCCAATGGAACGAACACGACCACTAAAATGATATGAATGTGTTTAAATATGAGTTCTGGATTTAGCAACGGCGCCATGGAGTTCAACGGCAACATTATACGGCATTATCAGCATTGGGTTAGACCTCGATATCATCTACCTGCGTTCTATCTCAACCCCTACTATTTATCACTCAGACAATAATATACACCAACCACTTCGCTTCTTCAAGTGATGTATTACATGTGTCTTCATCTATGCACGGAGGATGCTGAGGAACCAAATTCGAAGATACTTTTGTTTCAACTACCCTCAAGGCTCAATTTGTAGTTTCTATGTAGCTGCTGATTGACGCACCGCTGTCCATTTTAACGTGATATCCGGTTGTATCTGCTCACTGTGTGTATTTCTTTTGGGCAATTCTGTCCGCAGAAAATAAAACCTGGGCGATGGAAACTTCGCACCTTCCTATCCACGCCCAAACCCCAAAGCAATCTCCAACTCCAAGTCCTTGGCTTGAACGGGTTTCGGCAGGTGTAACATGAGTATCGACAGTCATTGGCCAATTTGATTTAGCCGGCGTGCAGGGTCCAGGCGCTAACCCTGATAAGGTTAAATAATTTGCTCATTTCTGCTCAGACTGTAACACGCCAAAAGCTTTATGTGGGGCTGCTCCGTCCAAGACAGCTGGCAAGCTATCACTGATGATTCTGTGATAGAACCAAAGAAACAGAAATTGTCACTGGATCATAGATAAACAGGTAGAACACTTTAGATGAACCGAGCGACTGTCTGCCAAGAATCAGGGCTAGAGTCGGTCCTAATAAAGGAAGATGCTCCATGTGGAAATGGAGGCTTGACCTTGAAGCTCCGCAGTCTCCGGACATTAACTGAATCATCTGTGCTTCCTTGTATATAAAGAGTAACCAGGTATCCTAGTGACACTGACAACTCCTACAATTACAACATTGTTTAACCATATTCACTTCTAGGAAGATACCATAATCCTCCTCGCCTTTACAATCCCCTCTTTCCCTAGACTTCGTCTGTATATCACCTCACCGTCTCATACTCTGAACAATCAACATCAGAGCCACAATGAAGTTCTCTCCTGCCTACCTGCTTGGCTTCGCGCCAATTGTCGCCGCTCACTTTAGACTCCAATATCCCACGAGTCGCGGCTTCGATGAGGACACAATGGCTAACTTTCCCTGCGGGGGCTTGGGCCAATCTTCCAACAGGACTCAGGTGTCTCTTTCGTCGGGCTCCTTCCCTGTTGCCTTAAGGATGGGTCACGATGAAACTGCTGTTGAGGTCCTCTTGGCTCTTGGAAACGATCCCGGCACCAATTTCAACATCACTCTCCATCCCACTTTCCGTATTGAGGGATTGGGCGAATTCTGTCTGCCTCATGTCGTGTTCGACGAGTCTGTGCTGGGCACGAACATCACCGACGGAATGAACGCGACTCTGCAGGTGCAGTCCAATGGTGATCCCAGCGGAGGTCTCTACGCTGTATGTTAATTGTCCATGGCCTAAGTGAACATCAAGAAGCAACGGACTGACAACTTCTAGTGCGCCGACATCCAGTTCTCTTCGACCGCGCAGTCTGAAGAACCCTCGTCGTGCACGAACAACACTGGCATTTCCGCTATTGCATTCACCGGCGCGGCTGCTGAGCGCAATGCCAACGAATCCACTGCCGACGGTCAAGCACAGAGCGGCAGCTCCGACTCCGGCTCCCACTCGGGCCACTCCTCGGCTACCCAAACTTCGAGTACCACCGCATCCTCGACTGCTGGCGCCGTCGCTCTGGAGACTGCTGCCTGGGGAATTCTGGGCGCAGCCGTTGTTGGTGGTCTTGCCGTTCTGTAGATGATTGATCCATACATTATGATATGATTTATGCGTCTCAATGGAATTTGTGATAGTGACGGGTGAAGATGAATTGATGATACTGCATGCCCAACTGTACCATATGCGCGCTTATTGCTGGAACCAACAAATGACATATGATTTAGCTTTTAAATAACCTTCTGAAATTTGGCCGTATCATGGACTTATGGTAGTCAAAGTCACGTGTGTTACTGTCTAGGCTGCAATGATATCGTATCCAATTCTCGCATTCAGAACCAGTGCATTTACAAAATTCTCGAGTAACGAAGAAACTTGAGAGGCATAAATTTACAAAATATTGCTGTTCTAGTCAAATATGGACCAATTTGAGCGGCTGCGTGCAGTTGGTGAGTAAGCACCTTTGCTTCTGTTGTTGCACCCAAACCTGATCATCCCCAGGTCTGTTAGAGAGCTACTCCACAGCGAGACATCATCTCAAATTCTACTTGAATGCGTCTATAGCGGCTACCTACAATCTTCCAGAAACATACAATTCCCCTGTAAAGGACTACATATACAGAGCCTGCGCAAGACTCATTAACCAACATCCAATTCTATCCGCTGTCCCCGTGGGCGAAGACACCAAGGAACCGTACTTTGCGCGTCTCCCAGAGGTTGATTTGGAGAAGTCGGTCTCATTTGAGAAGCGCGCCCATGATTTTCCAGAAGCAGATGAGCCAGACACTGAGCTGGAGACACTGCTAACTACACAACATAACACGCCTTTTACACCACCATTACCCTACTGGAGACTCTGTGTGTTGACTGATGCTACGAGTGAACGGCGATTCACCGCTGCTTTTGTCTACCACCATGCCATTGGTGATGGAACATCTGGCAAAGCCTTTCACAAGACATTCCTCCAGGCATTGCGTGAAACCGCCGCATCAGTAGGCCTCGAAGAAGTCAAGACAGTCATAGCTCCACCCAAGGTGCCGCTGCTGCCAAATTCCGAGGCAGTTCATCCCCTCCCGGTGTCTATTTTCTACCTTGCTACCACTCTGTTCAAAGAGAAAGTCTGGTCATGGCCAGATCCTGGCCTCTGGACCGGCTCAGAGATCATCGTACCACTGGAGACCCAACTGCGTCATATCGTCTTCCCGGAACATGTCACTTCAGCCCTGAAGGACCGCTGTCGTCAGAACAACACCACCATCACCGCAGTGTTGGAAACCGCCATTGCTCGCTCGCTTTTCGCTCGTCTACCCGAAAAGTTCACGAGCGTCAAGTGCACTGGTGCAATGTCAACGCGCAGGTGGCTGCCTGACATCATCACGGATGATTCAATGGGCGTCTGGGTCCAGGATTTCGAGGACACATTCTCCCGCAATAACGTTACAAGTGACAGCTTCCCATGGGAAGAGGCGAGACGCGCGCGGAAAACCATTGAGAATGTCTTGAGTCTGAAGGGGAAGAACGCCAGTCCCAACCTTCTCAAATACGTGGATGATGTTCATGACCTCTTCCTGTCTAAAGTCGGCAAGGCAAGGAAAAGCAGCTTTGAGGTTTCTAATGTTGGTGTTCTGGCTGCGGATCAAGATCCCGCCAAACCGCGGATTGGAAGAATGGTCTTCTCTCAGACTGCCAGTGTCACTGGGAATGCATTTGAGGTTTCTGTTATCACGGGTGGTGATCGGTGTATGGTGTTGGCCTTTACATGGCAGACCCACGTTGTAGAGTTGGATTTGATGTCTGCTGTTATTGACTCGATCAGGACAGAGCTGGTCAACCTCTGTTCTTAGTTATTCATTTGCCTCGTGGCCCGGTATAATCTAATGTCTCGCTCGACGTAGCACCTTTCTACCCTTTCCCCTCCTACATCGTACTGCATATAAGGAAGCTGCACAGTGTATGTGCCGCATAGTCTCCAGCGGGCGTCTTCGAGCCGTAGGAGGAGCTGATTCCGTGGTATATCCGGCTTGTTCAGACACAGGCGAGGAAGTCTGATGTGCAGGAGTCGCGGAAAGCGGAATTCTTCGCGCTTCAAGACAGAACAGAAGAGGTCGAAAACAGCTTGCAGGTCAGGGATAGACAAGCTTGATCGACTGGCTGAAGGAGCTCGAAGATGTCGCGGAGAAGGCACTCAGGTAAATAGAATAGCGGACGCTTCTTTCGTACTACACTAGGGTAGGGCAGGAACAACGTGAGTCTGTCGATATTCTCACAAAGTCTTCAGTAAAGAGAGTGCTGTTGATGATGCACCTTCTTGGCCCTTTTCAGACACTGCAGACATGTTATGGGATTTGATTATGGGAATGTTAGTTATGAGGCTTGTTAGCAACTTGTCCACTGTACTGAATAGAATCAGAATATGCCATAATTGAAATCTCAGCTGAGGTAGTTTGACTGCTTCCTTCTTGAGAGGTTATTATTGATAGGAGACGTTCTATGGATCTTTGCAGATATACGACACATGATGAACAAACCGATCCCCTGAAGCTGTCCCTGGGTACGTCGAGACGGTTACGGCTGGGTTGAACCACAACCCCGTTCAGCACTGTCTAATGTTGTGGACACACCACTCATATATAACAATACCACAGATAATCTCAAAAGTGGAGAGTATAAGCTTAGAATGCTGTTAATCATGCTACAAAGTGTGCCTGCGATGGCTGATATTCACATTGTCTTTGAGCTGACTGCTGACAGATACCCAAGGTACCTCACTACCTATGGAATGTGGGGCGGTGAAGCGCGCATGTAACCTCGGCGGCAGAATCGCGGGGGTTCATCTGCCTGAGGCATCGGTTTGACGCAACTCTATCCTTACATCTTTCCTTCTGTACTTATCAGGATTGATCGGACTTCTATTGCAGTCTTGTCAAAATTTCATTACTGCCAAGATGGCTCCTCCCCGCGCACCGTACATTGTGCCGGCGCTCAAAAAACACACGGCGACGGTCATCATGGCCCATGGACTGGGCGACAGGTTAGCTGCTTGCTGTGGTGCTATGCCATTGACCCTTGACTGACTTCTGCTGCTTGTTCTCTTAGTGGCGCCGGATGGTAAGATTTGCTTTTGAGAAGGTTTTGTCGGAGTGGTCTAGTTGACTCGTGTCATCACGAAGGATGTCTCTTGCTCAGAACTGGCGTCGCCGCGGCATGTTCGGTGAGGTGGCTTTCATCTTCCCAAATGCGCCAATGATTCCGATCACAGTGGTAAGCTGAGACGATCCATGTGTCATACAACTATCAACGGAGTCGATTAACAGTTTCGTTAAATCAGAACTTCGGAATGACCATGCCCGGATGGCACGACTTGACGAAGCTTGGTCGCGAGGTGAGATACTCCTTGCTTAATTTGCCATTGAGATGAGATCTCTTTGCTAACATATTTCTTGCAATAGCTCGATTATGAATCAGCCATTCGGCACCAGGACGAGCCGGGTATCCTTCGATCTCGCGACTACTTCAACACCTTGATCAAGGAACAGATTGATAAGGGCATCAAGCCTTCACGGATCGTTCTGGGTGGCTTCTCCCAAGGAGCTGCCATATCTGTCTTTACTGGTATTACTTGCAAAGAGAAGCTCGGCGGTGTCTTCGGTCTGTCCAGTTATCTCGTTCTCAGTGACAAGATCAAGAATTACATTCCGGAGGATTGGCCGAATAAGAAGACTCCTTTCTTCCTCCCTCATGGCTTGGAAGATGAAGTCGTGCTGTTCGACTTCGGTGATCTGTCGGCGAAGAAGATGAAAGAGATCGGCTTGGAGAATGTCACGTTCAAGTCTTATCCGTGAGTTCTCCTCATATCCGCCGCCGTAAATTGTTCTTTGCTTATTTCTCTTTTCCAGTGACTTGGGCCACTCCGCCGATCCAGTAGAGATTGAGGATCTGGCGCGATTCCTTCAGAAAGTTATTCCTCCAGAGGACGACGGGCTGGCTTCTGCCGGATTATGACTTGATGACCATATCCAGACTCAGGGTTTAGCAGGAACATATTTGAAAAGCCTTGTCTTCGGTGTCTTGATTTTACTGTTTGCTATCCTATTGATGAGAATTAGCGCAAAAGATAGGAATACACGAGCTGCTTCTAATAAGCAGCGTTGAACATCGGCATCCTTTGATCGAGCGACACTTTTCGCCTGCAATTGCATAGTTCTAGAAGTTGCTACACTGGGCTAGGAGGTCATAGAACTTGGTTCCTTTCGTGACACTATCATAATTCATCGTCTATGGATTGGTGTCCAAAGTACCACGTGGCGCGCCAAATCACCTACTCGTTATTCAAAGCCCGCTCGATGGATTTCTCAATGGCGGACACCATGGCAGTAGTATTCGCCTGGTCGAAAGGGATATGATGCTTTGAACCATGGTCGTAAAAAACGGCCTTAGATGGGTCGCATATACCGTACAGATGCATACTTCCCTTGTAATACGGATCTTGCCTACCCACTATGTGCGTCGTTGGGATTGTGACGGGGTATTTCCCGTCCTCGGCAACAAGCTCTTTAAGCCCGGAGCTTTTGTACGGTGTCGCACCGCAGATGAACACGGCGACCTTGAAGAGAGGCTTCGAATTGGTTTTGGCATGGTCGGCTATAAGAGCACATGCAAGCGCGGCGCCCTGCGAGAAGCCCATCACGCCATCAAAGGGGCCTTGCTTCTCGATGATGTTGAGAGTGTACTCGAATGCCCGGGCGAGGTCTTCGCCGGGGAAAATGTCGCGGGGGTAGTGGCAGAAGAACGGGCCGTCCAGAATGCCTTCGATTTCTGTGTTTTGGGTTAGAGGACTAGAGTTGTAGCAGATTGAAACTCTTGTCATGTCTACGGACCAGCTTCAGGCAGGGAGGTCAGTCGTCCATCGACGAATACGAACTTGTGGCCCTTAATTTCCAGCTCTTGGGTGATTCCGCCTGTGCTTGATTGTTACTGCATGATCAATGACACCGGCAATTCGGGAAATAATCTTTGGGCGTGGCTCAAATACCTGACTGAATCTCGAAGATCTATCCTCGACAGTCAGCCTGCGATTTCTGCATTTGCAGATTCAGATCTGATATAACATACTTCAGCGCTTGTCCCCGCGCCGTGTAGACAAAGAAAGCGCATCTTGCCGTTTTCCAAGCAAATTGGTGTCGACCCCAGGCTAGGAGGACTAAAATTTAAGGATGATTTATCTTGTTACGTGTATGCGGTAGAGGACAAGAAGTGTGAGCTAGCTGCAGCAAGGAGACGACTGGTTTCCATGCATGACTATCCTAGACCCCATTTCGACTTACGCGGAAACTACCTAACAAGCAAACTTATGGGTCATCCACCAGCCTGGTCGCAAGATGCAGTCTGATGTTTGTGCGTCTAACGGCCCATCAACGGACTTTCTCATAGGTGTAACTGTACAACTGATCAGCTGTTTTCAAGGTAGGCTGGAGCATCACTAACTTAGTTGATTACCCCTGGTTCTTAGTCAACATTTGTGCCATGGGAGACGAGCCTCGGTCGCCGATCCAGGAACTCTGTCCGCATATCTGAACCATGGTGGCTTCATGGCTCCTTTATCTTATCATGGACAGCTGCAAACAATTCTAGCGAAAGAAGAACGTGGAGCGTCTTTGGATAATTTTGATAATTCTGTCCAGGCTGATATGCTTATCCTGCAATATGTCCCTTAGCAATTTTGCTTTCGCTGCCTCCTTCGCATCCCATGCTATCTTGCACCCACTGGATTTCTACTCAAGCGTCGGCCCTACATTGAATGAATCGACTTTCGGTCTTTTGGGCGCGCCTTTTGACCCGAGACGTGATATCACCGACCTCTCCGGCAAAGTGATCTTTGTTACTGGAGGTAATCTTCAAGACCGTGTCCTTCAAGGGTCCCTCTATGGTTGCCATCATTTGCTGATTTCGTGTCCTCTTCGGTAGGAAACATTGGCCTTGGAAAAGAAACAATCCTTCAGCTCGCGCACCATCGTCCGTTCCGCATATACCTGGGTGCGCGCAATGCGACAAAAGCTCACGATGCCATCGCCGACATTCAGCGGCAGCTTTCGACCCCTGTGGATATCAGACATATTCCTCTCGACCTAGCATCTTTCGCTTCGATTCGCAGCGCTGCTGAGAAGTTCACCTCCGAATGCGATCGCCTGGACATCCTGATCCTAAATGCTGGTACCATGGGCAACCCGCCAACAACTACAGAAGAAGGATTTGAAGTGCAATTTGGGACAAACCATATCGGTCACTTTTTGCTCACGAAATTGCTGCTTCCGGTATTGCAGAAGACTGCTGCCAACCCTGCGTCAACCGACGTGAGGGTAGTAACTTTGGCCTCTTTGGCCAACTGCGCCGCTCCGTCGTACGATGTCATGACATCTACGGATGCGCTGTTGGCTGCCAGTACTTGGACACGCTATGCCGCTTCCAAGGCTGCCAATATTCTATTCGCCTCTGAACTTGCTCGCCGGTACCCGAGGTTCCTCTCTGTCTCCGTTCATCCTGGTACTGTGACCAGCAACTTGTACGAACAGGCGAAGGCGTCGAGTCCTGTCTCAAGATGCGGCGTTGCTGCTCTCTCACTTGTCTTTCGGTCAGTGCGTTCAGGCGCTCTGAACCAGCTATGGGCTGCTGGGGTCAAGAGGGAGCTTTTGACGAATGGAGCATACTACATTCCGATCGGGAATCATGCTAAGAACAACAAGTATGCCACGGATGCGGACATGGCAAAGAGATTGTGGGAATGGACAGAGGCTCAGATTTCTGAAAAATCTGTGTCTTGAACCTCTTTCAGGCAATTTGTTAATTGACTATCCATATATACGTGTGCTCTATATTTTCACTATGTACGATCCATCTTTTCCCTCGAATGCTCCTCCAGTCGTTTCGCTCCTCCTCGCTCGATACTGATCCAAATCATGATATCTAGTTCGGTTATCATCTCAATCTTTTGAATATCATTAAGCTCACTTTACAGATGGATATATACTTTGCCGGCCTGTCAGCTCTGGATCCACGACCTCGCGCGGGGAAGCGGGGAAGATGCCCGTGAGGACCTGCCTATCTCCCCCAACCTGGTCGCTTCAAAGAACTTGCCTCTGGTCAGAGTCCTTACTGCTATGTCGAATCATCTTTTCTCTTGATACTTTAATTATTGATCATGGGTCTACGAGTAATTATCACCGGAGGTTCCGGTAAAGCCGGCCAACATGTGATCGCAGAACTCCTTAAAGCCGGACATACGATCTTGAATCTGGATCTACTTCCTTGCCCAAATGATAAAGTCTGCACGCTCAGAACTGACCTGACCCAGTCAGGTCAGGTCTTCAGTGCCATGTCTGGTCAATTCGCCTTGAGTGAACCATTTCCACCGGGTCTTCCTCCGACCCCAGATGCGGTCATTCACCTCGCAGGCTACTCACGCAACATGCTCGCACCTGATGACGAGACCTTCCGAACGAACACGGTCTCTACGTACAATGTGATCGAGGCCGCCTGTAAATTAGGGATCAGGAAGATCATTATTGCTAGCAGTGTCACGGTGTACGGCGTGTCTTTCGCGCTGGGTGACACAGATTATCCATCTTTTCCGGTAGACGAAGAAGTCGATGCGAATCCAACCGATACGTACGCGATTGCCAAAGTGTGCGGGGAGCGAGTTGCAAGGGGTTTCGCGGGTCGGTTTGGGGCCGATATCTATGTCTTTCGGATTGGGCGGGTGATTGCACCTGAAGAATACGAACAACAGCTCTTTCACAGTTACGTCTATGAGCCCGCTAAATGGAAGCCCCATGGTTGGTCTTACACGGACGCGCGTGACCTAGGTCGGATGTGCGACTTGGGCCTTCGGAAGTCGGGACTTGGATTTCAGATCTTCAACGCGACGAATGATACTATCACGAGCACGACCCCGACAGAGAAATTTCTCAAGCAGCAATGCCCCAATGTCCCGTTTACAAGACAGATGGAAGAGTTCGAGGCTCCATTGACCAATGCCAAGATCAAATCAGTCCTGGGATTCCAGGAAGAACACCCGTGGCGCAACTATTTTCCTTTCAAAGCAGAGCAATAAAGATATAGGTGAAGTAATAGACCCAGAATATCCGCCCGCTCGATCTGCGATATAAGCGATCAGCATCTCATGATCAGGGCTGGCGTCAGGCAGGTAGTTGGCGAGATTACCGGATTCGGTAAGTGATGCCGCTCGCGAGGAGTTGAGGACCACTTTCACTCTACTAGGCGAGACAACATCGATGACAGGCACAAACTCATTCCTCCCTTCAGCCCATAGATAATATGAACGATTTCACCATTTAGTCGATTACAATTCTTAGCTAAGATTACGCCCAAAAGTCTCCTGCGACACCACGTCTTGTCATAGTCGAGCCTCGAGATCATTTAGGGTTTAGCCGAGAAGCCTCAAATCTCCCAAGAGCCAAACCCACAACCCAACAAAAGCACCTTAAGAAGAGATGTCGATGATGATATTGTAGAAGAATGATTCAGAATATTGACAGTCTAGTAGTATAATGGACATTTATCTGTAAGCTTGTAGAGTAAATCCTCAGAAGCCGTCCGACGCAACGAATTAGCGAGCTCGACTCCCCACACAAACCACAACTGGAACTTTCGTGCTCGGGGAGCCGAGATGCGCATCATCAGCAACTTCAACCTCCTCCCACTAAACACCACCTCAGTCACGGTAAGTCAACCCAAACCTCATCTCAGCCCTCGTCCTTCGGTTCACCATTTCGACGGTTTTTTCATCAGTCTCTCCCTGACCGGTACCACAACCTTGAACCCTCCCGCTTGATCCTATCTCGCACCTCCCCACCACCAACAGAATTGCAGCCGCACATTTTGTCCCTACCGAGTTCCACAGACCTGGATTCTTGACGTCTTCATTCTAACCATCGCGCCAGATTTAGGTTATCCACGGACGCACATAAATTACCGTCAAAATGGATCAAGCAAAGCTGGCTAGGATGCAGGCGAGCGTGCGGATTGGTACGTTTTATTCTTTCCTTTGGATTTTCGAGGTGCTGGTGTCCGAATCAGTGTTTCTGCGGATGGTTTAAGAAGAAGCATTGATCGAGGCGCACCATCTGGGCAATGTGATGTCGCAACTCTCTCGAAGTGGACGGGAAAAGCGATTTCAGTCCATAACTGACAGCTAACATTTAATTTCTTCTTCTAGGGTACGTATAAGCTACTTTCATCTCCCGTTCTCGAATCACGATCATGGCGGCATTGAGATACCCTAAAACAAAACGACTTCATCTACGATTGACAATCCAAGACTGCGACTAATTTCATCGACAGAGGAAAGGGTACTCCCCGCCGCAAGGTCAAGAAGGTCCACAAGTCCTCCGGTGCCGACGACAAGAAGCTCCAGACCACCCTGAAGAAGATGAACGTCCAGCCCATCCAGGCCATCGAGGAGGTCAACATGTTCAAGGAGGACGGAAACGTCATCCACTTCGCCGCTCCCAAGGGTGAGTCCCTCACTCCAGCTTCGTCTCCATTTCCCCGACCCAGAAGGCAGATAACTGACAAGTAATCGCAAATATATAGTCCACGCCTCCGTCCCCTCCAACACCTTCGCCCTTTACGGTAACGGCGAGGAGAAGGAACTCACCGAGCTCGTCCCCGGTATCCTCAACCAGCTTGGCCCCGACAGCCTCGCCTCCCTGCGCAAGCTCGCCGAGAGCTACCAGAACATGCAGAAGCAGGCCGGTACCGAGGGCAAGAAGGACGAGGATGAGGATGATATCCCTGACCTGGTTGAGGGCGAGAACTTCGAGAGCAATGTTGAGTAAATCGCATTTTGAT